GGCACCTCGGCGGACCTTGCGTTGAGATGGCACGCTTGAGCTGAAAACCCTACCCTGCAGCAGCACGAGCTTGATGCGACCATCTGTCGCGGCGGCAGTATTATCTGGCGGTTTCCGCACCAAACCAAACCCCTCTTCAAGTTTGCTCCCCCGGCTGTACTTAGACTGACCATTGACCGCCACTTGGGAGGGTGGGAGGAGGCTGGTCTTGGGAGAGTCGGAACAAGAGAGCGCGTCGTCGTGCTCAGGATGCCGATGACCGTATGACGAACATGGGGTCGTTGGCGCGCGAGTCATGAAGAGCAACTACGTCAACACGATCTCAGCAAAGGCTTCACATTCTCGCGCACTTTTGTTAGCATGCCGTTACGTTTCCCATCTGTCAGTTAAATTAGGCGGTTTGGCCAGCAGCGACTCTGGGCTTCAGCTCACCGTCGCGGAACTACACGACACTATCTGATTCTGACTCGCTCGTATCCGAAGGGCGGCTTCGGAAGCGGTAAGGCCCCATGTCCCTCGAGTTCCGCTGTGCGGAAGTACGTACACAGAAAGTGCCGGCCGGATGGCAGCTAGTCAGGCTTTGACACGATGGGAGGAGTTTCTCCTGTTGGACATACCCCTCACCCGTCCTTGATAGGTCGACTAGACGGCCAAACCCTGTGGTAGTCTTGGATTATATCAGGGTCCTGCCTGCAAGATGCTGCACGGCTACGTTAGCACGATAGGCTGGCAGGCCACTGAATCGACAAGTCGAATTATCCCCGAGATTGCAAGGGTGCCGCAGACCAGCTGGTTTGGTTTTTTGGCTTGGATTTTGGATTTTTTTTTATTCCCTCTTCCAGCCGGCAAGGGGGAGCAGCAACAACCACCACTCGCTACCTGCTTTTTGTATAAGTACATACATGCGGCGTGTGCATGGAGACCGATTGTTCATAGACCCTAACGCAAGAGTGACAGACTTGTCAAAAGTTCGTCAACTGCTTCCGAAAAAGACGCCGTGGGCCCCTTCAATTGTCTACCTGACGCTAACAGATACCACCTCGAGGTGCCTTCGGTGACACGACGGACCATGGACGAGGGCGCATGAAAACTCCACTTGGAACAGCAGACCCACGATCATCCACGTGGGAGCGGTATGCGAACCCATGCCAAAACGTCGCTCCGAGGTTGAGGCGATTTGCTTCTGGAAAATTCGTTACGTACACTCAGCACCAGCACAGCAGCACCAGTACCACCAGCAGAGCAGTGCGGCGGCGCGCACACGCGCTACAGATTGCGGGTACGGAGACAACGGGAAACATCGTGGTCGAGTGGTGTGGTGCTACTGTTGTTGATGCTGACTGGTGAAGTCGCTACCGCCGCCGCAATAAAACTCGGTATTAAGCAGCAAAAGTCCATGTAGGGCTGCCTTACCGGATACCTGATGCCAGCAAAAAGACGATGCAGACGATGCAGACGATGCAGACGATGCAGACGATGCAGACGATGCAGACGATGCAGACGATGCAGACGATGCAGACGATGCAGACGATGCAGACGATACATCATTTGTGGACAATGACTACTACCTTTTGAAATACACAACACCACAACCACTTAGGCGCTCACTGAGCTGCATCGGCACGGGACAGCGCTGCAACTGCTGCAGCGCCGCGCAGGACTGCAACCACCACCGTCCCTCGAAAAGCAAGGCGTCTGCCGGCTCAGAGTGGGGGTGGTTGGGGGGCTGGTGTCTGTTTTCTTCGTGGTAATTTTTTTTTTTTTTTACAGCACCTGGCGCGAGAAGCGTCGGGTTAAGCTGGTCCAGGAACACGGCTCGTCTGATGTGTTGTTCGGGCCATCTCCAGCTCCAGCCTTGCTTGTTTCATTTGCGGCTGCAATGGCTGAAGAAATAACGGTTCAGATTGCCATGCCATGCCATACCATGCCGTGCCGTGGCCCCCGTCTCCCTTTGCTTGGTGTAAGCCTCGTACTGTGCACGTCGTCTGGGAATCTCCCACCACGCTGGCCAAGGTGAGCCATGCGTTCCCTCATCTCCGGCAGGCAAGGTAGAGCCGTTTGAACGCTTGACGATAACGTTCCTGCAATGTCAATTGAGTGGCAGGAAACCCCTTCCGTCCGCGGTTTGAAGGTCGCCTCACGTCCGGGATGTCCAGCTCGGAGAGAGTTTACGATTCAGTCAAGCCCAGCTATGACGACAGTCGAAAGGGCCGACTGATTCAACATGCTTCGACATGACATCTCGGCCGGATGCCGATCATGGAACTTCTGCCAAGTTCATCTCGCCCAGCACGACGTGACCGCGGTACGAATACCGTGTGTGCAGTGCGGTGCAGAGAGATACCACGATACCGGCCCCGCGCGCGCGCGTACGTGCAACGCTGCATGTTGTTGTCGTTGTCGCGACGAGCCTCAACCAACCCCCGGGTCCCACGGCCGTGTATCACAATCTTTTTCAACCACGCGGTGCGCTTCCGGGTGGGTCCTCCCCCGTGGACGCAGAAGGGATGATGGATTGCGGTCCTTGACGTTACACGAGATGAGGGTATTCAGTAATTATCTTTAAAAGACAATTGCGTCATAGGGGACTGTTCCCCCGACTCAGTCCCCGTTGGCGCAGGCAGACTGTCGGATAGACTCCGCCGTACCTGCCAGTGCCAAGCCGGTTTGTTTCGTGACAAATGGCAACGGTCTTGCTGGAACGTTGCGAATTACCTGAGGTTGAATTGCGTCAAAACGACACGGTTGAGGTTTTTTTTGCCAAAGGACTTTTGACAACTGATATCGATGCGACGATGCGGCCCCATAACCAGCATTATGTTGATGATGTCTTCACTTGCGCCATGCGTCAATGCGCGTGCAACTTCAGACTTTGGAGAAACAAGTGACAGGTGCAGAGCTCTTGGCTACTCGCTCGGAAATGCCTACCGACATTTGTTCTAGCAATAGCAGCAGCCAATGTCTTTGGGAGATGAGCCACGGTCGCAATTCGCAATGCCCGCCCACACGAGATTGCCTGCCATAGGCAGTAGTCAGTTGGCTTAGGGGTTTCTTGTCTGGGTGACTCGAGTCGCGGCCACAGTGCCCGGAGAATTGATCTCTGATCGGCATAATCTCCAACCCTCGTCGTATAGCAAGAGCCTCGTGACAGCTAGCGGTTTTACGAATTGGGAATTCCATAGCAAAATGCCACGGCTGCAGCAGTTGCTATTCGTAGACGGCACAATCGGGTAAATGGTGGCACGACATGTCTCGGCTGCACTCCGATGGCGACCGAGTACATACGCGGTGACCTGGACAACTACTGGCAACTAGCAACTGGGTTTGCACGTTCTGTTGTGAATAGGCGGCGGCGGTTGCGTGGAACGCAGAAGGGGTCGAAAAGACTATGGATTGTTCTAGCCGAAACATGTGCAGACCCCTATCCTGTCGCAGAGAGGGAGGACGCGTCCCCCGTATGCCAGCCGTGGTAGCATAGATGGTAAGCAGGAGTTCGTAAAAGAATGTATGGATAGCCTGTAGGAGATGGTTGTCCGGCTCTTCCAGGCGACTGTTTCTAAATCGGGGGTGGAGGCACGGAAACAACATGCTAGGCGCGAGCGCGAGCAAAGCGCGTATCGGTGATCTCTGTCTCCGTTCGGGTTGCAGTTGGCACTCATGATACGTCTGCTGTCAACTGCCCTTCGCCACGATGCTTCGTGTGCCCCATTAGGAGGCCGGAAGAGATGGGAGTTACAGCGACTACTAAGCAAACTTGTGGACGACTGTCTGTCCCCGTGTTCTAGAGTTGCCGCTGGGGCAGATCTGACCCCCGTAAAGGCCGGCCGCAGTGCGTAGTCTTCAAGCATTAACGTAGAATGTGGGCATTTGGGGCTCATTCACATTGACGAATCTCGAGCAGTCGTTGCGATTGCTTGCTGCCGCTCCTGGAGCCTCCTCTTAGAGGTTGTTGCTCCTTCGGGGGCCGCAGACAAATCGCCCCCTTTCTATGCACGTTGTCACTGGGACAAGGTTCTTCATGGGCAGCTTGGGGGTTCTGGAATGCGAGATATTGTGGTGCTTCTTCTCGGTTGTTGAGGCTTGTCTTTGCATAGCCGACCGTGTTTTGTGGGTTTGGATTTATTTTTTTTTTTGTTAGGAAAAAAACTGGGCTTATTGGAATGTCTCGGCCTCGCGAGACAGAGATGTCCCGACGACCGCGTAGTGATCGTCGTCGTCGTTGGAAAGGGAGGTGGTTGAGCGTATGGCGGGGGGTTTGGCTACGCATTGCATCTGCATGAAATTCACAACGTTTGATGGACGGATGGTTGACGGACGAGGGACGGTGTTTTCGTGACGCCGGTTTCTTACACATCACTCACACCTCAAGCTTGCTATGCTAATTAGGTACCAAAGCGGCAGCTGCGGTAAATGGAGAAATTCGCAAGACAAAAAGAAAAAATTCCAGCTTTGGGCTGCTTGATGGCATTTCTTTCTCGTAGGCAGGAATCCTGCGGGTGGCCATCCCCAAGTGACGTGTCCAGAGCCAGATATCGTGACAGCTGTTCCTGTAGTCCGTCACCCCTGCTTGTGGTTTGACGTCGATGATGCCCGACAAGAAGAGTCATCACTGAACACCGCGAGCCAAGTCCAGGGAAGGGGTGGAAGACAGAAAAAAAAATCACCGTCTTGTCCGTCCTTCATCCAAGGCCACGGTCCTACACACCGCTTGTCTCCTCCCTGGGCAGACATCGTGGCCGGCCACGTCGAAAATCTTCATGCATCCCCCGGATAGTTCCCCGACTGCCGCGGCGCGAAGCGCGTCCGTCGTGGGACCCAGTCTGCTGGCTGCCCTGGTGAAAATTCTGCAGTTCAGCGTCAGGAGAGGACACGCTGTTCGCAAATGTCGGTAAAGAGGAAAGGCAGATGAGATGAATGATGTGAATGTTCTAGAATTCGGACGTGATGTATTTTTTTTCTTGTCCCATTCAGTGAAGTACGCGCACGAAACAAAAAGATTTTGACCAGCCTGGGGGTCGAACCCAGAATCTCCTGATATCAGATTCTAGTTGAATCGTAGTCAGACGCCTTGCCATTGGGCCAACCGGCCGGTACCCATTGCGATGGATGTTGACGTTCCCGCCGTGGGTTGCGGATCTTTGGCGGAGGCATGCCGTGGGGAGTTGTGGGTTCTCTGCCGTGGTGTGGGCTTTGGCGTGATGGTGATGGGGACGGGCGAGTTGGGTTACGCGGGACGGAATGGGGACGGGACATCATGAGTGATGGTGATTGCGATGTTTCCTTGGGTATCATAGAAGACTTTGAGGCCGTGGTTCGTCAACTATTGTGTTGGCCTTATGTGGTGTTCGAGTGGGTGACATGACGAGGACATTGTTTGTCGTCGATGCTGAGGCTTTGGCGGCTCTATTTCTACACAACAAGAGACTTGGAAATGGCACCTCAGTCTACTTATAGATACATACACAAATTGAGATGTGCTTCTGGTCATGTCTGATGATATTGCCGAGAGTCTTGTGCCTGGCCAAGTTCTATCATATGGAGAGTTTGAACTCGAAGGGTCGCTTACTACCTGCCCCCTAAGCCCGTCCCAGCAAGTACATTATTATATCAATACACATAAACATCTTAAGTGTTCCTTTAAGCTGTGACTCATGTCTGAGAAGTTGCGCTCAGCCTTGGTTCACGAGGCTACGTGGGTCGCTGAAGCATACCCGGAACTTGCGGCAGGGCCGAGTAAGCATTCAGGTAACAGCACAAAACAGGAATTAGAGGGTCTAGATTTGCTAATGATTAGGTGCTCGAGATGATGTGTGCAGGACAGCGTCGTCCAGCGTCCAGCGGCACTGACTTGGTGGACGACCGTTACAATGTCAAGAGCGAGCGTATGAATGAGATGTTGTAGTAAGAGGGGTTTAGAACCATACAGCCCTCGGTCCAACTCACTTCCTTAATCAGGTAAACATGATGAGATAAAGGAGACAGTTTAAACCTATACGGCCGCTAGCTCAGCTCACTCCATGAACCAAACACGGTAACAAAACCTGGATCGATGAAGTTAAAAATGTTTCTACGCTCAGCACGGTGCCTCATTCACAGTCTCCCGTGATATTCGCTCTAGTGTCGTCGTATAGCGCGTGACGATGTGAAAGTGACTGCAGAGTTGTTGTATGTACAAGGCTTATTACTTTCATTCATTTCAAGTCATGCGTTTGATGCCGCCGGTAAGAGCCGCCTAATCGTGGGTTGGTGTTTGCAAACCCCTTGAGTATACATGAATGGCCATGTGTTTTCTCGCAGAGGCTGATAGGCTACACCCCAAAATTTTTGTAGATATCTTGAGTTGCAGCCGCATCTGATACCATCGTCCTGAGTCCTGGTGCACCCCCTTCACTACAAACAGTACCGGCCCTTAGCAGTATGCATTAGCCCCGAACCTCTGAGTCTGCGCTGACAGCGTATTGAACAGCGGTTCTGCAAGATCATGACGTAGTATTGAGAGATCGTTTTCGTTGTCGACAAGCGCTGGTAATGCAATGGATGTCTAATTATGTTACAACCACTGACATATCTCACGTCCGCTGTTCTTCATGAATCAACAGCCCGAGTTGTTCGTTCTACGGTCAGGTCGAGGAAGCGCAGGTTTACATGGAGTTCAGCAGGGTATCAGATAACAACGAACGTCAAACGCTCTCTTTGAATGAGACACAGACATAAGCAAGGCAATTCTATGCCGCTCGTGTATGTATGTTTGTTACGGCACTTGAAGTTATTGCTAGACTCGAGAGAGATATCCTCGCTGGGTGACGTACTGCTGCCCAAGCACCCAAAGAGGTCAAGATCCTTAGAAGAGACGACTGTTCGAGACCATCAAAAATTGTCGAACAGCGCTTCAACTATTTCAACTACTCGGGTGATCATGGATATAATAGCACGGTGCGTCCTATGTTGCGTCAGCGCTTTCCCTAGGATAGAACCGAAGGAATGCAACATGGAAGCCTGTCGAACAAAGCATATAACCGCTCGAAACAGTGCTTCTGAAGAAAGTAGATTAAGTATCAAAGCTCCTACTGATTTCCCGTTCACCTCCGAGAAAAGCACTGTGGCCGGATGTTAGAAGCAGCTTCCTGCTCGCATCTCACTTTGAGGGCTGCATGCCCATAAACGACTCGTAAGATTTGGGGGTGGGAGGGGTTTCTGCTCTACTACACTCGTAAGGCTAGGTTCCTAGGAGCGAGAGATTGACATAGATGACGTTCCCGCACCCGCACCCGCCGTCCAAGGCCAAAACCCCCTGAAGTGTCACCTGGTCCTTCTGTACGAACTTTACGCTTGAGACATATACTCAAATCAGCGTCCACATGGAATCTTTTCCTCACTAGGTCTCCGCAGGCTAGATGAACCGCGAGCACCGTGGCCATCATTACATAGCCAAAATGGTTGACGTCAAGCGGGCACTGAAGGATCAGTCTTCGGGCATCTCCTTATCCCCCCTTGACCATTCTTCCCTCCTATGCTACCGGTCGGGACCGTGGTTACCTCGAAAACGGCCTTAGACTGTCCCAGTAGACTTCAAACAATGCTGTAGTTCGACCCTCCTCGATAGAACTATAGGGTGAATGGATATCCTCTCAAAGCTGTTACCATCTCGAGGACTACTGAGGGCCTGTGTAAAAGGGCTGTGTATCGTAACTGGCGACGACTTCGGAGTCAAGTTACACTCGTGAATTATGCACCGACACCTTGGAAACCCAAGTTGCTATAAGACTGGATCGTACCTCCGGATACTGGCGGCCAGAACGCATTGTCAATCAACCCAACGGATAGCCGTCCATTTTGGAAGGGAGTTGAGCTCGATGGTGAGGGGCAGCCACCATACCCGACTGTGGCGTACGGACCCGCCCGGGGGGTCGTTCACCCGTGGCCGCAGCGGGAGCTCTTCTGATTGGTTGAGTGCCTCCAATTTTTTGACCAGACGAAATAGTTCGAGCTTTCAGAGAGGACCTCACGATTCTTGCCAGCAGCGTCGTTGATCTCAATGGCGATGGCAAACCCAACTGCGCTGCGGCCAGCGATTGGCCGCATGATGCGGTTGCAAGAGACTCGTCAATGGCTGCCCTCGAACCCGACATCCGTCTCTGCCACCCGCCCACGAATCGCAACATCGGCCTTCTCGACCTCAGCCGCCCACTCGAAGCGCAAGACCCGCGACAGCAACCGCCTGAGAGGAGTATCGAGCATGAGGAGGACTGGTCCCCGTGAGCCGCTGTCCGTCTCGTGGGAGGAAATCCCTCAGCCGGTAGACTACAAACCCAAGGTCGGAGTGGACCCAAAACACGGGCTTTGGGATTTTTTCTACGGCAAGAAGCTGCTACAAACGCCCAAGGAAACCCAAGCCCACGGCCGCGCATGGTCTGTTCGGGATCTGCGCAAAAAGAGCTGGGATGACCTGCACTCGCTGTGGTACGTCTGCCTGAAGGAGCGAAATCGCCTCGCGACGGCGAGAAAGGAGCGCGCCAGGCGCATGGTTGGATTTGGAGAATACGAGGGCGACGAGAGAGATGACGTGGTTCGTATACTCCCAGCGCTTTGTGGGTTCAATAGTCACTGAACAAAAGTTTCACAGGTCCTCAGCACGATGAGAGCGATCAAGCACGTGTTGACGGAACGCTACTACGTTTGGGAAGATGCACGCAAGCTTGCGGCCCAAGACCCTGAGATCAACCTCTGGGCTGAGGAGGGCGAGCCGGCCTACAGCGGCTACGTTGCCCCCGCAAACCCCGAGCTGGAGCTGGAGCTGGAGCCGGAGCTCGAGCCGGAAGTTGTTGCGGAGGATCAGGCAGTAGAGGAGACTTCAGCCGAGCAGGGTGCGGTTGCAGCTCATGGTGCTCCAGTCGAGGGCAAGACGGACCCGGCGGCCGAGGTTGATTCAGAAGCCACGCCGGTAACTTCTGAGAAGGCCGAGAAGAAGAAGGCCGAGGAGGCGAAGAAGGCCGGGAAGAAGCAGCCTGAGGAGGCAAAGAAGGCTGCGGCGAAGCCCGTGGACCTGCCGGTTCCCAAACTTTGAAAGCCAAACCGATTGTAATCATTACCCTTGCCGGCGTGGGGGCCGAGGACATGAAGCTATGTGAAAGTGTATCCAGACATGTATAGAATCTTGTACGATACGTATTTTGTGCACCAGGCAGGCGGTCGTGTCGCCGCCAAAAAGAGAAGAGAATTCCCCTATTACATGTGGTTGGTTCTTGTCTGATGAGACGGCGTCGGTCGGCGGGTCACGAGAGGTTGGCCGGGCTGCTGAGCTGAGCCTGCAAGCCCAACAAGCCGTTGGGGATTGCATAAGGAGAGCAGACGATGAATGCTATGCGCAGTACGGATACCTACCTTACTCAGATGAGACTACTCGCATAATGTTACAGAAGTGGTACGGGGGAGGGCGGGACGAGACCTGGGCCCTTGTACCCAAACAGGGCCAGCCACACCGCCGAGTACATGTTTCGCCGGGGAAACAGACGGTAAGTGGTGCTGTGCTAATGAATCTGTAAGGTACCTTGCTGCTCGAGGACGTGGAATCATTAGCCTCAGGCCCAGCAACAAAGCAGCCGGGTACCTAGGTCGCTAGTTGGCTACTATCGCAGCATTAGCGGTGAGCCACAGAGCGGAGAGATGAGAGCGGACCTGAGGGGAGGTACCTATCCATTAACGGGCAACGCGCTGGAGCCAGACAGGCCCCAAAGCAAGCGCAAGCACTGGCCCAGTGACACACTTGACACTGAACCCCTCCAAAAGCAACAGGTCCCGTCCGTCTGTACCAGGTCCAGGTCCAGGTCCAGGTCCAGGTGGCACCGCGGGCTCATCATGTCCCTCGCCCCCACCCAATCCTTCCTTTTGCTGCATTTTCGGTCCCATGTCTCTCCTACAACACCGCAACTACTTCTCCAGACGTGAACATCCAGTCTTCCCTCGACCTTTCTTTTCCCTCCTTTATTGACAACACCCGACTAATCTACCTCCCCGCCTCCCCCCTTCAAGACTCGCGCAAACATGGATGAGATTGCAAAGGAATACGATGTCATCGTGCTGGGCACTGGT